TGAGGCCAGGGGCAGGGCGTCGGGCTCAGGGCTGGCAGGGGGCGGGCGCACCACATGCCGCTCCAGCTGCAGCAGGGCTGGCGGCTTGGGGGGTGAGGGCACCAGGGGCCAGCCCAGCAGGCGCCGCGGCCCCCCCCGCACCCGCGGCGCCCCCCGATGGTTGTTCTCCTTGCCCGGGCCTGCTGCGTCCTCCTCCTCGTCCTCGTCTGCCAGGGGAGACAACAGGCAACAGATATGTATGTATAGATGTGCACAAGACATGTAATGGGCAGCCGGGACAGTAGACTACAAGAGATATGTACACAGATGCACACAATAAATGTAACAGGGAGCCAGGGCAATAGAGATGTATCTAGATGTGCGCAATAAATGTAATGGGGAGTGCGGGGATTGGGGCTGGCAACAGCTTCCTCAGCCTCCTCTGGGAAGGGGAGAAAGGGGTAGGGGGTCAATAGGGGATGGGATGGCATGCTGGGCTTTTCTGGTTATTACTCACAATAAATGTAATGGTGGGTGGGGGCCAGGACTGGCCATGGCTTCCTTAGCCTCCTCAAGGAGAGAAGGCAGGGCGGGGCGGGGGGCAACAGGTGGGTGGAGCACTGGGCCGCTCCGGTCATTACACGCAATAAATGTAATGGGAAGTGGTAGTGCATGGAGGCATGTCATAAATGTAATGGAGCAGGAGCACGGGGCTGGTTGTATCGTCCTCATCCTCATCCGGGAAGGAGAGAATAGGGGGATGGGACACCAGGGCACTCTCCATTTCTTGCATGGCTTGCCATGGAAGCATAGTATAAATGCAACAGAGCAGGGGCTGGCTGCATCTTTCTCTGGGAAGGAGAGAAGGGGCTGGGGGTGGGGAAATCAACAGAGCAATGGAGCACCAGGCTGCTCGCCCTGTTTATTGCGCGGCCTGCTGCGGAGGCACACCATAAATGTAAGGAAGCAGGAGCTGTGGCTCACCACATCTTCATTTTCATCTGGGATGGAGAGAACCAGGGGGATCCATAGGGGAGTGGGGAGCCGGGCTGCATTCTCCCTTTACATTCATTGTGCGCAATAAATGGAAAGGGAGTGCGGGCTGAGTGTCTTCCTGCTCATCCCCGTTTGGGAAGGAGAAGGGGGGCTGGGGGGGCCCCAGGCAGGTGCTGGGCCTCTTTTTTTGGCGCTTCTCTCTGACTGCATGGCGGGCTGGGGAAGTGCGCAATAAACAGAAGGTGTAGCAGAAGGCGGAGGGGATCAGATGCCCTCCCCTGCACCTGGGGTGCTGAGGGGCCATGTTGTGACCCTGCCAGCATCTCCTGGCATACTCTGTCCAGCTGCCCAGCCCACGTGTCACGCTACATGCCCCCTGCCCGCCCATCCAGCCTGCCCCGTGCTTGTCTGTCCCATTCCCACCCCCCTTCTGCCCCCTACTCCCCTTCCTGCCCGTCTACTACCCCCATGCTCGCTGCCTGCCCCCCACCCCCATGCCAGCTGGGCATTGCCCCCTGCCAGCTTCCTTCTACCTGCCTGCCCCACGCTGCAGCCATCTGTCTGTCCACCCCACGCCGTGTCCGTGTCCCGATATGTGTAGTACCCAGCATCCACCCGCGCTCCATCTCTTCGTCCCACACTCAGTTTATCCATCTACTCTCCACTCCGTCCATCCACCGCTCGCCCACCCCACGCTCCCCGTGTCCATTCATGTACACACCTACACATCCAATGACCCACAGCATCCCTGCATCCACCCCATACTCGATGCATCCCTCTATTCGGCACTCCACACATCCACCCACCCTGTGCTCTACCCATCCATGCACCTAGTATCATAGTGCTTAGGGTAAGAAGGGACCTAAACAGATCATCAGGGCCGACCCCCTGCCCCGGGCAGGAACGGGTGCCAGGGTCTCATAGTTTCCTAGTAGTTAGGGGTCAGAAGGGACCTAAATAGATCACCTAGTCTGACCCCACCGCCACTAGCCGGAGCACACGTTGGGATCACATGACCCCAGACAGGTGTTCATCCAACCTCTTTTTGAATTTACCCAAGGTAGGAGCGAGGACCACTTCCCTAGGAAGTTGGTTCCAGGTCCTAGCTACCCTGACAGTGAAACAGTGCCTCCTGATATCTAGCCTGAACCTATTCTCTAGCAGCCTCTGGCCATTGTTCCTCATCACCCCAGGTGGTGCTGGGGAGAACAGGACCCTTCCTATTTGCTGCTGATCTCCCCTAACGAGTTTGTAGGCAGCCACCAAGTCTCCCCTCAGCCTCCTCTTGTGGAGGCTGAACAGGTTCAGGTCCCTCAGCCTCTCCTCATAGGGCCTGCCCTGTTGCCCTCCAACCAAGCGGGTGGCCTCCTCTGAACCCTCTCAAGGCAGGACACATCCTTCTTAAAGTGCGGTGCCCAGAACTGGATACAGTACTCCAGTTGAGGCCGGACCAGTGTCGCGTCGAGGGGGAGGATCACCTCTCCGGACTGACTTGAGATACACCTTTGGATGCACGACAAGTTGCAGTTGGCTTTGCCGGCTGCGGTCTGGCATTGGCGGCTCACGTTCATCTTGGAGTCAGCAATGACTCCAAGATCCCTTTCCATCATATCACCCCAGCCAAGTATCTGTCCAGCCTCCTCTGGAAGACCCCCGAGGCAGGGGAGAGCACCGCCTCCCTTGGGAGCCCAGTCCAGAGCCTGGCAGCCCACACCGGAAAGACTTGTCTCCTGATGTCCAGCCTGAACCCGCTCTCTAACAACTTGTGCCCATTAGTCCTAGTAACCCCGGGAGGAGCTGGGGGAACAGAGCCTCCCCCAATTCCCACTGGTCCCCGCTGGTGAGTTTGTAGACGGCCACCAGATCCCCTCTCAGCCTTCTCTTGTAGAGGCTGAACAGGTTCAGGTTCTCCCCGTAGGGCCTGCCCTGCTGCCCCCTGACCGTGCAACTGGCCCTCCTCTGGACCCTCTCCATGCTGTCCACATCCCTCCTGAAGTGCGGCACCTATGTATATACCTACACCTCCATCCATCGTCATTAACCCTCACAGACCCCCTAGTTCATTCCTCCAACCATCCATCCATCCATCCATCGACCCCTGTAAGCCTCAGGGTTCATCCATCCATCCATCCCCAAACCCCTTCCTTCCTTCCAATGAACCATTCCATCCCTCCATCCATCCGTCCATCTAATGAACCAGTCCGTCCACTCATCCAGTCACTGACGTGCATAGAGCCCCTCCCCGCTGCCATCCATCCGTCCACTCGTTCACCCCTGGGTTCATCCATCCATCCATCCAATGAACCATTTCATTCGTCCCTCCATCCCATCATTGACCTGCGGAGACCGCCTGGTCCATCCCTCCAACCCACACTCAATGTCCCCCTCTATTCTGCACTCCATCCGTTCACCCCATGCTCTACCCACCCATGCCTCCCTGCAAGCCCCCCTGCTGTGTGGCACCTTCACGGTCGTCCTCGTCGTCCTCCTCGTCGTCCTCCTCCTCCTCGCTGGTACTGAAGCTGAGGGGTGGGGGTAGGCGGGGTGGGGAGGGGGGGCTGTGCGCAGCACCCGACGACTCCCCACTCTCCGAGTCGGTGTCGGAGCTGGAGCTGGAGCTGGGCGCTGCGCGGACGCGCTCCAGCAGCTGGCACATCTGCTTGAAGCGCTCCAGCTTCTCCCGCCGGTCGGGCGCCGCTGCCATGGGCACTGGGGGGGCCGCGGGCGCCAGCGATGCGCCAGGGGGCTTCTGCGGAGAGAAGGGGGGCGGTCAGTGCAGCCCAGATGCCTGGGTCCTCTGCAGGGAGGGGAGGACGGGTGGGAGCAGGGAGTTTAGGAGCCCTGCTGCCAG